TTATAGCTAATTTATTAACACTTACCCCCGAAATCATGGACCCGACCCCCGCGGTGCCCCCCGTCTCCATGACGCCCTTCCTCTGGATGCTGGTCCTGGGCTTCATCATCGCCTTCATCCTGGCCTTCTCAGTGGGCGCCAACGATGTGGCCAACTCCTTTGGCACGGCGGTGGGCTCGGGGGTGGTGACCCTGCGGCAAGCCTGCATCCTGGCCAGCATCTTCGAGACTGTGGGCTCTGTCCTGCTGGGAGCCAAAGTCAGTGAGACCATCCGGAAGGGGCTGATCGATGTGGAGATGTACAACTCCAAGCAGCAGCTGCTGATGGCGGGGTCCATCAGCGCCATGTTCGGTGAAGATCGGGCGTCAAAATGGGGGAGGAAGGTGCCCCATGGTACCCCGGTGATGGCTTTCTTACCAGGCTTCTCCTCTTCCAGGCTCTGCTGTGTGGCAGCTCGTGGCTTCGTTCTTGAAGCTCCCCATTTCTGGTACCCACTGCATCGTCGGAGCGACCATCGGCTTTTCGCTGGTGGCCAAGGGGCAAGAAGGAGTCAAGTGGTCTGAGCTGCTAAAGATTGGTAGGTTCAGCACCTGTGGCTCCTATTTTCCTGCCCCAGCCTTCCCTTTCCAGCTGTGGGATGCTGACCTTGTCTCTTGTCTCCTAGTGTTGTCCTGGTTCATCTCGCCCCTCCTTTCGGGCATAATGTCTGCGATCCTGTTCTTCCTTGTCCGCAGGTTCATCCTCTGTAAGGTAAGGGCTACCCACCCCCTTTTCTGGCATCTTGGGTGCTCCCTCCTCTGCCCTTTGGATGGGTTGGTTGGGTTTTGGGCACCAGAGCCACTCCAGGCAGCTCCACCCTGGTGCTGAATCCCTTCAGGAGGAGCTGAGGGGGAAATGCCCCTGTGACTGCTCCCCAAAGCAGAGCCTGGGAGGGAGGAGGCTTCACTTCACCCCCTGCAGCTTGGGGCCAGAAGCATCCTCAGCAGAAGCAGCTGAGCTTTCCAAGTAGTGAAGCAGCCCAGAGCTGATAAGGTCACAGCTTCTTGTGAGGCTGTTCCTAAATCCTTGTATGAGGCTGAGTCTTCTCTGTGTCACTGCAGATAAAGGTGGCAACCACCAGGAAGGGCTTTTTTTAACCCAAAAAGGGCCTGGGTAAACTGAGGGGCTGGCTTCAGGGACACATTTCCACTGTTTGGAGTGTCCAGAAGCCCAGGAAAAGGGGTTTAGCACCCAAAATGCTTGAAATGGAGGTAGCAGATTCAGAGATGCAAAGGTGGCAAGATGCTGACCCCGGAGCCAGCTGCGCAGAGGGACTCCAGCACTTCCCTCCGCGTATTTGCGGTTAACTTCAATTACCTTGGCTCTCGGCTCCGACTGTTTCTGGTTCAGGAGATGTTAAGATCTTATCGCTGCTGGTTCCTACCTGGCAGCCCTATAAAGCAGCTTGGTGTCCCTGCTGTCAGAGGAGCCTTGCGTAACCGGGCCGGCCCCGTCACGCTCTGCTCTGGTGCTGAATGGCCCGGTACTGCTGGGCGCTCGGTGACGCTGGGTGTTTGTACCCGCACTGGACCCCGCTCGCTGGGCAGCAGTGGAGATTAAGAGCTCCTCCTGCTGCGGCGAGGGCCTCTGAGCGCAGGTATGGGGTCAAGTAAGCTGCTTTGTGAGTAATGGACTCTTTTGTGTTGTCCAAGTCAGCTAGAAAGAGGTGAAGGCTTGGTCTGACAAACACTTTTGTCCGAAAGGGCCCGGGCAGTTGAAAGGAGCCACTTGTGCAGCTGGAAGCGGTGGCAGCCACAGACAGGGGCGGTTCACAGTGTCCCCTGGAGACACCCAGACCTCTGAATGGTCCTGGGTGGTCTCTGGGTGCCCCTGCTCTGGTGGGGGTGGCACTGGGTGATCTCCAGGGTGATCTGCGGCTCTGTGGAAAGCCCTGGGGTGCAGATGAGGCGCTGCAGCCTGGGGAGCGGTGGGACCCGTGGGACTCTGCCCCCTCCTCGTGCACCAATGGGGACAGCTCTTCACCGCCCCGGTTCTCTAAAAGCCACTGTGGCCGAGGCACAGGCCCCGTTGGGAAGGGGCTGCTGCCGGGCCCAGCGTTCCCCAGCGCTGCTGTGTTTTGCAGGCAGACCCCGTTCCCAACGGCCTGCGCGCTCTGCCCGTCTTCTACGCCTGCACCGTGGGCATCAACCTGTTCTCCATCATGTACACCGGTGCCCCCCGTAAGTACGCCTCGCGGTACCGCGACCTTGCTTCTCAAATTCTTTCCAAAGCCTCCATTAAATGCACGATTTACCCCTCTTTTGCTTTACAGGCCTGAGATCTCCTAGAAGGCGGCTGGCCTGGGCCGATTTCGGAAGGCTGCAGGCTAGCGTGCGCTGAGCTCTGGGCTAGGTAGTTGCCTGCCCAAAGAGAACTGCTCAAACTAAACCCTCCAGACCTTTCCCCTTAGACTTCCCAGGACTTGGCCAATATTTTGGCTCCCCTCCACTTATTTATTCCCCGAAGTCAGGTTTAGCTGGAGACACCCCTCGTAGTAGGGCAGTGAGGACGGAGGCTGTGCCTCCTCCTTCACCTTGGCCCCAAGGAACAAGTGATTATCCCTGGCGAGAAGCGCTGGTGCCTGTGCCCAGGAGTTTGTGTTTCGGTGCGAAAAGCCAAATTGCAGTGCTGGTCTGGCGCAGGGGCCGGTGGCTTTGCCTTTCTCCAGGGTGACTCGCCCTCGCTGGGTTTTTTGAGCGTTTCCATGGGTTTCTGCTTGTGGAGGAGCTGCAGGAGGTGGAGCGAGGGCAGCCTGCGCTGGCTCCGCAGGGTTTGCTCTGTGAACAGCTGGAAATGGCTTTTTGGAGGGGTTTTGGCTTCCCCTTCCCTTGGTGTTTCACCAGGGGCCAAGGCAGGGTCGCTGTGGTGCAGCACCAGGGTCACTTCACTGCTTGGCAGCCGGGGTGGCTCCGTGTTACCTCATGGGGCCGGATGAGCTGTGGAAGCGCAGGGCTCGTAGCCCCGAGCGAGCCGGCTTTGGCTTAGGAAATGAGGCAACGCGTGGGGCAGGGAGGTGGAAGCCATCGCCCACAGTGTGAAATGCAGGAGCGGGGCTGTCGCCAGCACCCGGGACCTGCCCGGGGCTGCAGGGGCCTCTGCCCCAGAAACCCTCTGCGAGGAGCGGC